TNTAATAAATATATACTTTTTATAATTTTGAGTGATCATGACCAATTAATTAGCTGAAAAATATTATATTTATTATAACAATTGCTTATGTGATTTTAAGAAATTTTACTATGACATAAAAAAAATTAATTTATTAATAAACAACCGCTTCATCATATAAAAAAATATTGATTTTAGTGTAAAATTAAATTTTATGTAACTTTCATATATTATTTAGTATGAAATATAATTACTAATTTTAATATTAACTATTATATTATTTAATAAAAAATATAATTATTAATCAATTAACATAAAATATAATGGTTTTTGTCTTACCCAAAAAAAATAATGAAATATTTTCTTATTAATGAGATTGGGTGTATTAATGCCACATAAATAAAATTTATTAGGTTCTATTTATTAGGTTTTATTAATGATTTGCCACATAGGTAAAATTTATTAGGTTTTATTTATTAGGTAAAATTTATTGCTTAACTAGCAATTATATATATATATATATATATATATATAATTATATGTATATATAGATGAATTAAAATTGATGTGAGATGTGACAAATTGATTAATACTATTTAATTATATTTATAGAAAGTATGAGAATTGAGTTGAATTGGATTTTATGTTAGATAACTCCTATCATCGACAATACCCAAGTCTAGACCCATGCTGCAGCCATAAAAAATGTCCCATCAATTAAATTTTTCAAAAAATATTCAATACACTTCATAAAAGCAGCAACGTGTAAAGCAAATAAGATCATCTCTAATCATCTACTCTATCTACTAGTGTAGAGTTTACTACAACATTGGAGCATAGTCGCGTAGCTAGACATGACCACAGGCCGAACTGACTGGCCGAGAACCAGCCCATGGTCAACGGGCCCCGTGGTTGACCGGGCCGATTCTGGGTCTCATATATGTACATTTTGAACCCCGGATTCGAACCATGATCTGATCCAAAACCGAAACTGATGGTTCGGGCTTTTTTTATTATTTTATTATTTTAATTTTTTTAGCGACCATGGTTAACGGTCCGGTGGTTAATTTTTTTTTTAATTTTTTTATTCTGGGTCTCATATATGTACTTTTTGAACCGTCGGGCCGGTTTCAAACAAAAATCGAAACCGACAGATTGGCCCTTTTTTTATTATTTTATTATTTTATTTTATTTTATTTAATGAACCTGGCTGGCTCGGAAATGGCGGTTCACCAGCCCGTGCATATGTTCGGCCAGTTCAAGGCCGTCCAACCCTTGGCCCAAAACGGACAGTTCCGACTGAGAACGTTTTTGGTCATGTCTAGACTACGGACTGGAGAAGTCAAAGCATCCAAGCTTGTATTTGTATAGGGCACTAATAAGGATCAGGTTCATCTTTGTCAACAGAAAATAGCGGGTGTAATATCACAAAAATACACCAACATTCTACGACTGATCTATGAAAATATTCAATTCTTTCAAAAACACATTTCAGCCCAAAACACCTCTCGTAGTTTATAGTTACTAACATATACTCCCTGAGTCTCAGAGAACGCAAAATGCAGATTAAAAAAAAAAAAACGAACATATGAAAAAAAATGCCAGGGCAATCTTGCAGTAAGCTGAATGGATTTCTAAAAATGAGGCGTCCTTGTAAATCCCAAGCACCGTGTAGTGGCACTAAGATCCGCCGTTGGATCCTCCCTGTTGAGCCATGACCCAAAACCGTCAACATTGAAATTTATCAAGACTAGAAAAGGGAGATGGGTGTTGACCTGACAGATCGATGTTGAGCCCGTTAGATATGATATAAAGAACACAAAAGGAAATATTTTGCCTTCACGTAAATTTTTAGCAACACCCTGCAGCAGTGGCACCCTCCTTCAGGAGCCTCTTTCCGGCCATGGGCTTCTTCTCGGCGTTTGGTGCCATGTTTCTATCTTAAGACTTAAGAGCAGTAAATGTCGCCGTTTTGCTCATTGGAGGAAAAAAAAATAAAAAAACAAATAGAATAAGGGAATGTTGGTCGTTTTATATCACGCCACGTATCACAAATAGCAGTAAAAGTCCTCA